ACTTCTGAGAATCTTGTAAAAAGACTATGGCTTCCATCGAGGGTTCACACTCGCTGTTTCTTACTCTCCTCTCACTCCCTTGCACCTCTCACTCTGGCAAAAGAAAGTTGTTATCCTGTGAGCAGTGCAGTGAAGAGACCCAGGTGGTGAAGCTTTCTATCAATAGCCAGCTAAGATCTGGTGCCTACTAACAACCGTGAGAGTGCATTTGAAAGTGGATTCTTCCATCCCCAAGACCCTTGAGATGATTGCAACCCTGGCTATCAGTTTGACTATGACCTCATGAGAGACCATTACCAGGTTCCTAAAGCTTGGAAACTGTGTGAGTTCATAAGTGTTTATTATTTGAGGGAATTAAGTTTTGAAGTAATTTGTGACAAGGCCATAGATAACTAATACACTTAGTATGTCTGCCTGTTTCCCATGATGGGTACAAGACGGCTGCCATAGCTCCAGCAGATTCCCCCTTACTTCTCATTGACCAGAACTGGCTCTTATGTTGGTCTCTAGCTGCAAGGGAGGCTGGGAAATCAAGTATCTGCCCTTTTAACTGCTCATGGGGAGGGCAGCAAGGAGCAGCGGGCTGGGCATGGCTGCTGAGTAGCAGTGCTATCTGCCAGACCTTCCCCCAGTTTCAGCTGTCTTTGTTTTCAGATGGTGTCATTTAACTTTCTCCTTCATACTCTGTAGGCTTCCCCATGTGGTTCAGCGGTAAAGAATCTGCCTGCCAAAGCAGGAGACACAGGAGACTTAAGTTTGATCCTGGGGTCAGCAAGATCCCCTGGAGAAGGAAATGGCAACCCACTCCAGTATTCTTGCCTGGAGAATCCCCACGGACAGAGAAGCCTGGCGGGCTACAGTCCATGGGGTTGCAAAGAGTCAGACAACAGATCAAGAGGCTTCCCTTCACACTCTGTATTCACTGTAACTAGAAGCTAGGCCTTCATTCAATTCAGGTTAAATGTCATTGAGAATGTTACTCAAGGACAATGCTATGACGTTCATATTCTTTCACGTCCAGAAACAACCAGGTTCTTCACTAAATAAACAGTTTTATAAGATTTAAGTAAAGGGTGGTACACCATCAATGAAAAGCTAACACGGAATCTCAATGCCGTCTTTCTCCCCGAGAGCTGTGTCCTGGGTGATTTCACATATTTTATATTTATGGAAACCCCAGGTTCTTCTATAAATCCCTTTGGGTTGTCTTGTTGGAATCACGTGTGATAAGCAGTCTCAGTTTCTTACATGCGATTTCCTCAGAGGCTGATGAGTCATAAGAGCAGTTAACTTGGAGTAAAACACCTGAGGGGATTATGAGCCGACTTTAAAAATCAAATGCAGGTGTCAGAAGGTAATCCTTTCCTGACAGCGTCTGCTTGGAGTTCTCAGGGCTTTGAGCACAACGCCAGGAACGAGGGGCAATGGGACAAGGGACAGGATGGGCGAACCCTGTGGCCCCAAAGCCCAAGTCAGGTGTGTAGAGCTCTCTGCTGGGGTCAGCGTGTGGGAGCACGTTGACAGCTCCCATGGGGTCTTCCCAGTGAGTTTCTAGTTTGCTTGTTTGCATAGCGCCTGGCAGGCTACAGTCCACGGGGTTGCAAAGAGTTGGACATGACTGAAGCGACTCAGCATGCACGCACAGACGCTGTGCTGTACCTGCTGTGGTCTCCACCATCCCCGTGGAACTGAAAAATATCTTTCCTCAGTGAGGACAGTGGCCTAATCCAACAGCTAGGCCCGAGGAGCAAGGTGCCAGGAACAGAGGCAGGGCTCAACACTGTCTTTGCTTTCTTTCTTTTTTTAAAATTTTTGGTCACATCGCAAGGCATGTGGGATCTTAGTTCCCTGACCAGGGATCGAACCTGCGCCCCCTGCAGTGGAAGTGCAGAGTCTGAACCACTGGACCACCAAGGAAGTCCCACAGTGGTATCTTTGAAAGGGTGATGGGGTCCCAGCCTTCTCAAGCCCCCGTAGTCCACGTACAACAGGTGGCCTTGCCTCCTCTTTCACTGGGAAGAGCAAGATGATCAGGAAGAATACTTGTCCAAGGTTGTCTTCCTTCAACATGACACTATGCCCTCCTCCAGCTGCTCATCCTTTGCTGCTCAACGGTAGGGGTCTCTCTCCCTGTCTCTGGAGCCTTACCTTGCCCCTCCTCCAAAGTTCCAATGTCCTGCTATCATCTCAGACATGTCGTAAACTCACTCTCCACCCAGTTTCCCCAGCTCTGTCCTAGTTTTCCCAAGACTGCCAAAGGCAACCCCACCCCTCCCAGCACCCAGGCTAAAAATGGGCATCAGCCATGACTCATCCTGCCTATCCAACCGGTCCCCAGGTCCTCTGAATCTCTGATGCAATGGCATCATTAACTTATCTTTCTTCAGCCGCCTCTGTAACCTGGCCACCAACATCCATAGGAGGATGTAGCTCTATCCTCCTTCCTCATCCTCCAGCCTGTCTCACTGCCTTACCAAGACTCTCCCCCTTGAGAATTCTTCTAGCTCCTCCTACACATTGCAAGTGCATCCCACCTTCTTCTGTTGACCCCATCTTTTTATTCCATCTTGGCTCCCAGCTCCACCTGTTCTAGAAGCCTTGGCCCTTACTGCCCTTTAATAATAAGAGACACACCATGTGCCAGGCATTTTATAACCATATCTTATGTTTTACAGTTCCTGTACAGTATATGCATTATTGTCCCCATTTTACAGATGAGGAAAACCGAGGCCTGGAGAGGTTACCACATGTCACACTGCCTATAAATAATAGAACTGGGCTTCAACCCATGTCTGTCTAATCCAGAGTCCTTCATCCTGTGTAACTGCCTGCAATCACACCCCTTCACTCTCTGTAAGGACTGCACACTGCTTCTTGCTATAGTACCCTCCCTCCTCCTGCTAGCTTCTTTAAACCCCCAACCCACAACTCTATCACATAGCTTCTCTGAAGGTTCCAGCCCAGGTTGTTCATTCTCATCTCTGAACTTTTCTGGCAGGAATCTCAGCCCTGCACAATTTGGTACTTCATTATAGACTGCCTTGTATGGTTCTCTGGTTATTTCTCATTTGTCTATCTTGTTCCCAAGTGTAGGCATCAGTGTAAGGGGCTGAGGCTTCCACTCCCTCCCATCTCCCGGAGACAGGGTCTCAAAGTGCCAAAAGCTGCTTGGACTCCACCCAGCCTCACCCTACTCTTCACCCCAGCCTGTCGGTGGCCTCAGATCTGTGTATGTGTGTGTGTATGAGTCTGCAGACATACACGCAAATGCAGACACAGGTGCACACGCATTTTCTCTGTTGCAGACACATTTAGTCAGGAGTTCCCTTCTCAAATAGAGGTAATTATATACCTAGAACTACCTACCCAAGACAGAAAACCCCTTCCTGACTGAACACTGAGCACTGCTCCCCAGTGTGAAGTTCCACTAGATCAGTAAGGCGAGCAGAGTTGGCAGGAGGTCCCCTGGTGGGTTTTGGGCTTCCCCAGTGGCTCAAATGGTAAAGAATCCACCTGCAGTGTGGGAGACCTGGGTTCGATCCCTGGGTTGGGAAGATCCCCTGGAGAAGGGAACGGCTACCCACACCAGGACTCTGGCCTGGAGAATTCCATGGACAGAGGAGCCTGGCAAGCTATACAGTCCATGGGGTTGCAAAGAGTCAGACACGACTAAATGACTTTCACTTCACTTCACTTCCCCTGGTGGGTTCAGTGTGGCTATCACATCCTAGCAGAGTATGGAGCTGGACTGAGCTTTGGGCAGGAAACTTTGGTCTCCATTCCAATTCTGCTTCTGTGTGCCCTGGGGGGACAGAGAAGGGGGACCCCTGCCACCTTGCTGCCTTGCAACATCCTTAGGCAGTGACATTTGCTGGTAGTGAGGAAGACTCTCCTTGCCAGGACCATGTTGCACTGCTGTGGACTGGCATGAACCAGGCTCCGTGGAGCTACCCTTGGTCCCCCCACCACCTGCCTTTCCCTTTAGGCTCCAAATCATCTCTCTACCCTGACCCAGATGCCCCCACATCTGGGGTCCCAAGCCGTTCATCCTTGGGGTTAGATACTGACATCTCAAATGTCTCATTTCAAAGTGAGGATAGCTTCCAGTATGATGCCCTAACACAGAATGATGGAGATTTCAGAATGATTTCTTGCGGTACACTTAGGATACAGCACAGAGATTCAGGGCTTGGACAGAGAGTGCTAAGAGTTGGTGTGTTGGTGAAGGGCAGAGGAGAGAAGGCAAGAGCTGGAGAGGCGGTGGGTGGGGGCCCTGGAGCCCAAACTCTTTTCCTTTACAATTTTGCCGGTGGCCAGTCCTAACAAGTGAATAAACAGACGAGTAAGCAAAGGGGCACTTATGCAAGAACAAATAAAAATAATTGCGTCATACCTCACACATGCCATCCGGAGCCTGGAGCAGGTTCCCAGGGAGGGGCGTCACGGTGGGGGCATGGGTGCTGTGAGCCGAGTCTCCCTCAGAAACCAGAGCCAACTTGGCAGCCCTGTTGTTGTGGGAAAGGAATACCCTGTCCTGGAGGGCGGCCAGCGTTTACGTCCTTTCCAGCTGCGGCGTGCGGGGGAGGGAGGTGCCACCCCATACCCATCCTCGGAGGTTTTGCAACCTGATGAGTGAACCCTTCGGGACTCAGGGCTGAGCAGCACCTCTTCCTGGGCCGGGCCCGGCCCTGCGCGGCGGCCACCTGCCATCCAAGGTGTCCCAGACAAGTGCAGAGGAGGGCGCTCGCAGGGCCAGGACGCTGCCTGCCGGGGCCTTTACCAGGCTTTGGGGCTGCCTCCTGACCGAGCTCAACAGGCCCAGGCAGCTGCTGCCTGAGCCACCCGTGGGTGTCCCAGCCGCCCAGGGAGCGACAGCCACATTCCAGGCTCCGGGCTGGCAGGGAAGCTTGGCTGCGAGTTTCGACAGGAGGGTGGCTGGCATTCAGGCACATCGGCGCTGAGAGGTTCCTCCCTTCCCCAGGAGGCCCCAGGTTGAGGAGATGGAAGAACAGGTGTTTAAGGGGGACCCGGACACCCCTCATTCCATCTCCTTCTCGGGCAGTGGGTTCCTCTCCTTCTACCAGGCCGGGGCAGTGGACGCCCTTCGGGACCTGGCCCCCCGGATGCTGGAAACAACCCATCGCTTTGCTGGGACGTCAGCAGGTGCGGTGGTGGCAGCCTTGGTGATCTGTGGGATCGAAATGGGTAAGGCTTTTGTTCTGGGTTCCCTGGGGAGCCTCTGGAGGGGTTCCACAAAGCAGAGCCTGAGGGTGGCTTGGGGATGCTTTGGGGAACAAAGCCAGGTCTTCTGGGTGGTGGGAAGGGAAGATGTAGGTTGAGGGGGATAGCATTGGCGGTCAGGGTTTGCCGGGTCCCAGTCTCTGACCCACTGGCTGAGCTTGGAAGTCTCTCTCCATCTCCCTCAGCACCTTGACCTGTGACACTGTCTCCCAAGATCTGGGAGAGGGAAAAGTGGTATCTCTCTGAAACATCCTGTCTTGGGAGTTACACCATGACACAGGCATACACTGGGTGAAGAGCTGCTCCACCCTGGCCTCATTAAAAAATGCAAATGTCCTTGGGAAGGACAAATTGACATCTTCATCATCCTGGTGGGGTGGATTCGCCAGACTAGCTTCCAAGCGACTAGAAGTGAAAGCCCTGGGCTTGGAGGGATGAACAGAGAGGTCGGCGCAGGGAAACTGGGAAGGAATATGGGAGGCCTCACTTTGCCTTCTGCCCAACTTGTCCAGGAGGCCGGGGTGGGGGGGGGGGGGGCTGAGGATGGGGCGACACACGGACAGGCAGGAGCGCCATCCCGTGGAAGGGGAGTGGACTGTTCCGAGCAGCCCACACGTCAGGCCCAGACCGGTCCCGGAGCACACTGACGTCCACGTGGGCTGCCTGGGCAACGGGGGCGGGGAGGCGGAGCATTCATTCATTTGGTGCACTACCATTCTGGGTGAGCCTGTGTTCCGGGCACTGGGGACAAAGTCCCTGCCCTGACGGAACAGAAATTCTAGAGACAGTGGAGACACAGGATAAGCCTCCGAACAAGTAGTCTCATAACGTCAGATCAGGAAGTGATAAGAAATATGAATAAAATCACAGCAGGAAAGGGTCAGAGAATAAAGTGGGGACTGTTTGAGAAAGGGTGGTCAGGGAGGCCCTTTTGGGGGAGGTAACATTCAAGCAGAAATCCGAGTGAAGCGAGAGAGCAAGCGGTTTGATGACTGGGAAGAAAAGACTGTTCCGGGTGCAGGACCAGCCGGGGAGCCCGTGGCGTTGGGGAGTGAGGAGGAGCGGGGTGGGGGTGAGGCTGGAGGGGCAGGCAGGGGTCAGGTCAAGTGGCCCTTGTAGCGGGGAGAACCGATTTCACTCTGGGGAGTGACGAGGAAGGAGGGAGGCAGAGGGGACAGGTGGCCGAGAGCGGGGGGCTGGAGCCCAGTCCCCCTTGGGTGGGATCCCCGTGCGGGCGCTTCATGGTGTGGGCCGGGGGCACACGGCTGGACGCTCTGTTCCGCAGTTTCTACGTCTGTCCCGCTGAGATTCTGCTCACATCTCATCCTCAGGTCAGTGGGTTAATGGCGTGAGTGAGTGAATTGGTTGGTATGCATCAACTGCCCGGCTGTGGGGAGTGAGACGGAGGGTCAGGGCAGAAACAAGGAGAGCAACGCTGGGGGAAGGGAGGGAGGGGGTGAAATGAAGGGGTAGAGTAGTGTGGAGCATATATACTAACGCGTGTAAATAGACAGCCGGTGGGAATTTGCTGTACACTTAGTTCAGTTCAGTTCAGTTGCTCAGTCGTGTCTGACTCTTCACGACCCCATGGACCACAGCAAGCCAGGCCCCCCCGTCCATCACCAACTTCCGGAGTTTACCCAAACTCATCTCCACTGAGTCAGTGATGCCACCCAACCATCTCATCCTCTGTCGTCCCCTTTTCCTCCCACCTTCAATCTTTCCCAACATCAGGGTCTTTTTCAATGAGTCAGCTCTTCGCATCAGGTGGCCAAAGTATTAGAGTTTCAGCTTCAGCATCAGTCCTTCCAATGAACACCCAGGACTGATCTCCTTTAGGATGGACTGGTTGGATCTCCTTTCAGTCCAAGGGACTCTGACTCAGGGAACTCAAACTGGGGCTCTGTAACAACCTAGAAGGGTGGGAATGGGTGGGAGAAAGGAGGGAGATTGAAGAGGGAGGGGGTGTATGTACACCGATGGTTAATACATGTTGATATATGACAGAAAACAACCAATATTGTAAAGCAATCATCAATCTATTAAAAATAATAAATATAAAAAATAATAAAGTTGACAATTGAAAATAAATAAATATAAAAAAATAAAGTTGAAAGAACAATTTAAAAAAGGGGGGAAAGAAAAAAAGAAACAGGGAGAGCAGTAGGAGGCTGTTCTCTGAGGTGAGCGATGAACAGGGCAGGCAGCCGGGCGGTGAGAGCAGTGAGGCCATCGGCTTTAGGGTACATGTTGAAGGAAGGGCCAGGGATGAAGAGCCTGCTGCAGAGTGAGGAGGGGAGTGAGCAGGGCCCCCTCCTGCCTGCGGATCTGTGCTGGGTGAGATGTCTTTCTCTCTGTTTTAAAGAATAATTGTAATACCCATTCCCTGAGTACCTCTTCGTGCAAGATACATTTTTTTTCTCATAATTCACAAATAATCACTTCTTTCTCAATTCAAACAATGCAAAAGTATTTAGGGTATTAAAAAAAAAAAAGCCTTCACTCACCTCCCCACTTTGTCCCCAATCCCACTTCTCCTCCTGGAGCCCGTGTAAGGATTCTGCTTGGATCCTTCTAGATCTTTTTTTTAAATGTCAAGTCCTCTGTGAAGGTAGCAGTTCATCCTTCAGTCACCCAGCGGACCCTAGGACAGGCCTTCAGAAAGGGGCTGGGCTGAGGGTCCCCTACTCCCTGATCTTGGAGTCACAGACTCTCCCATTGGAGACACCCCCGTTTCTGGGATTTCTCTCTCTTTCCAGGTACTCGGGTCACTCACCTGCTGCATTGCCCCCACCTCCTCATGTATTTAGTTCAACTTTTTAAAACGCACCAGCCAAAAGGGTCAGTGGTGTCTCTGTCTTTGGGCCTTTGAGGACTTTCAGAATTAATCCCGTTCAATCAATAAACACTGCCCAAATGGTTGGATGGCATCACCAACTCAATGGACATGAGTTTGGGTAAACTCTGGGAGTTGGCGATGGACAGGGAGGCCTGGCGTGCTGCAGTCCACGGGGTCGCAGAGTCGGACACGACTGAGCGACTGAACTGAACTGAACTGAACTGAAAACTGACTTGGCCAGGCTGTGAGGCACGTGGATGCCGGGGGACAGGGGCTCAGGCCCATGAGAAGGACGCCTGACGGCGGTGTGAGCAGGGGCTGGTCTGCACGCCGGCCAAGCGTCTGTGATTGGGAGGGAAGTTCACGGAAGGGTGAGGGGTGTGCTCTTTTCATTCAACAGCATGTTTATGAGATTGAGCCACGTCGCTCAAGTGTACGTCACTCATTTTAACTGCCACGCAGTTCACGGCTAACCAGCCCTCCCCCGTATCAGGCACTGTTCTCTTTGGCGGATTAACTCATTCAGTCCTCACAGCACCCCTCTGAGGTGAAAACTACTCTTATCTCCATTTTACAGAGGAGGAAAAGGAGTCACAGCAAGCTTGAATCACTTGCCTAAGGTCATGCAAACAGCAGTTGGTAAAGCTGGTGTTTTAACCTAGCCTGACCTTTAAGCCACTGTGCTGCTGCTCCCTCTCCTCCTTCTTCTTTTTTAGAAATAATTATCTATTTACTTGACTGCACCAGGTCTTAGTTGTGGCACTCAGGATCTTCGTTGCGGCATGAGGGATATTTCGTTGTGGGATCTAGTTCCCTGACCAGGAATCGATACTGCACCCCACCCCACCCCACCCACCCCCCCCCCCGCCCACATTGGGAGCTCAGAGTCTTAGTCATTGGACCACTAGCAAAATCCCACTACTCTGCTTCTTGACAAAGCAGTCTCAGGGGGCGTGAATACCGGTTGTATGGACACCAGGGTCCAGGAAGCCTCTCTCAGTAGGTGGAATTTGCACATAGACCTGAAGGAGGGGAGGGAGTGAGCCATGAGAACGTCTGGGGAAAGCACTCAGCGAAGAGGGATACATGACTTGCCCCATCCTGTCATCAGTTAGAAGCAGAGCAAGAACCAGGACTCAGTCTCCTGATTTTCTTTAATCCTCTTCACCTCTTTCCGTATCTATTCCATTAAAACTATATCGTGGTTCATTTAGCCATTCTGTTGATGGACATGGCCAAGTTTTTGTTGTTTATAAACAACACGGCAGTGAGCATCCTTGTTTGGGTCTCTCAGGTCCACATGGAATGTTTCCCGAGGGTACATAGCACATGAAATTTACCAGACTTGGCTAAATTACTGGCCAAAGTGGTTGTAACAATTTAACCACTAGCAGTTCCTGATTTCCCCACAGTGGCATCATCAACCCTTGGGACTATCAAACTGTAGAGTTTTTTGTTTTTTTTGGCTACACCAGGTGGCTTGCAGGATCTCAGTTCCCTGATTAGGGATTAAACCTGGAACATGGCAATGAAAGTGTAGAATCATAACCAGTAGGCCACCAGGGAACGCCCAAGACTGAAGAGTTTTAAATCAATCTGATGAATGTGAAGTTATATCTCATTTTATTTTGCTTATTTAATCTGCACACCCTGATTACTAGTGCTGTTAAGCATCTCTGAGTATTTATCAACCACTTGTGTTTTCTCTAAAAAAAAAAAAAATTTTACTTGGCTGTGTTGAGTCTTAGTTCACGGGAGATCTTCAGTTGTGACATGTGGATCTAGTTCACTGACCACGGATCGAACCCAGGACCCTGCATTGGGAGCATAGAATCTTAGCCACTGGACCACCAGGGAAGTCCCCACTTGTGTTTCCTCTTCTGTAACTTACCTGTTCATGACCCTTTCCTGCTCATCGTTTTCTCTTCAACATGTAGATGTTCTTTATATAGGCTGTACATGAATCATTTGTCAGTTATGGACATTGTAGCTATCTTATCTCATTCCATAGCTTGGCTTTTTATCTGACAATGTCTTTTGTTACTTAGAAAATCTAAATTTTGATGCAGTCAGGGATATCAAATCTTTTCCGCTTACAATTTGTGTTTTTTAATATCTTTACTTT